GCCCCAAATTATAAAAATATCTTCTATAATCAAGTTTCAAACTTAATTTAAATCTTTTTCTCTCATAACCACTGAATTACAAAGGAAAAGTAATAAAATAAAGTAACAAATTAAAGGATTAAGTCAATTTCGAAACCTATTTGAGCCAAATCAACTCAGTTAGAGGTGATTTAAGAGGATTTCTCATAGAGAAAAATGAGTTCTGTTGATGAAGAACACATATTTAATTGTCACAATATTAAATATAGTATTCTTAAGAGGTTTATTGTATTTAGACTTAGGATAAATTCAATAAGTAAAAAGAATTTCCCTCATATGTCTGTTTTTAGCAGTAAATATGTAAATGTATATGTGCAGCATTTATAAATTTAAATTTCTTTGTAAATAAATATTCTGTTTCATCTTTTTTTTTTATATATTCCTTTGTTGATTAAAAATGTTTTCTTTTTCAAGTTAAATTGGATAGTTCTTCAGTCAATTGATAATTTATTGTATTTTATCCTTACAGTTTTATGTTTCACTATTAGTTATTTTTACTTGGTATATCCTGTGTGATAAAATTGAAAATATATTATAGCCAACAATCTCTAATTTCCCAAAAAAGTAGTGAAAAATAAATAAAATAAGAGATGCAATATAAAATATCTACATTATGGTAAGAGGTAAACCATTTCATAAAAAATATTTTATATCAATGATCAGAAATGAATCTAAACATTGAGGATCAAATTTTGAACTATTTAAAATTTTAATTATAGTGGATTTATAATAGTTAGTGTTGTCCAAAATCAGTCTTGGTGATATACTTTGCAAATTCAAGACTAAGGCCTGCCTAACTTGTAAGACCAAGACTGATAAAAAAATCCTTTTTATAAATAAAAATTAAGTTAAAATAGTCAGCCTTGAAATAGTTGTAATAGTAAAACTTGAAAAATTTAGTTACCATATGTAAGGAATTGGTTTGACCAATATCCTTTGGAATTTAACTCTCAATTTTTCATTTGGGCTTAGATTTACCATGTCTGACAAATTACAGTAATATATCTATAATAAGAAGCTGATAGGTAACTGGAAGACTGTTGCGAGACTTGCACAAGACTAAGACACCTCATGGTCTCGCATTTGGGCAACACTAGTTGTGGTATTCAGTCATAAGCAATATAAATAAATTATATTTATTAAATTTACATTAAATAATTTATTTTTATTAAATTTACATTAAATAATTTATATTTATTAAATTTGCATTAAATAATTTATAATTACTAAATTTGCATTAAATAATTTGTATTTATTAAATTTAGATTAAATAATTTACATTTATTTAAAGTTTTTTTTTCTAAAGGTGAATATTAAGAAGAAAAATAAAAATAGTTTCATAGTTGCTGACTTAGAATTGAGTTTCTGGTTTTCCAATGAAAGTTAATTTTCACTCAGTTTTTGTTTAATGTTTTAATAATTAAATAAATTTGTTTGTGAAATTTGCCAATGAGAGAGTAAGATGAATACAATGAAAATCTTAATATGCCTAAGTTTATCGGAATATATTTTAAAAGAAATTAAACAGAAAAAAAAAAACAAATATTGTTCTTTGATTTTATTATTTATTTTCGCATGATATAAGTGATTCATATGCTTCATACAGATTGTTCAACTTCAATTCTATCTCCCAAACCATTCTAGTAAATAGTTTGTTGCAATAATAACTTTTTAAATTGAAATAAGAAAGACAGACTATTCAAATATTAGTTTCCCGCCGATCCAATATGGCCGTCCCCTCCGTATGACCGCACTGTATTATTAAGCCACTGTATGTCTGCTTGGATAGTGCTGCTACCTTGCGTCAATTTTTTGAACTAACTGCCGTTTTCGTCTCCCTTGGTCAGTGCTGACCTCTTTTAGCTGTTTTTGGAACTAGTAGTTCAAATTATACGTTTATTGGATGGTGCTGCTCTCTTTGTTTTAGTTTTATAACTATTATTCGAACGTTTTCTCCAATAGTGCTTCTAACTTCATGTAGTTACGAAAATTATTGTTCAAACTTTGTTTAAACTTATATACGGTCACCAAAAATTTTGCTTTCACTCTGTGACATTGTTTAAATGCTTGTTTATTAAATTCTTAACGCGACAGGCCTCCACTATCTTCCATAATGTGTTTATAAGTTAAATTCTGTGAAATATTTTCTTCTTGTAATGTAGTATATTGTCTTAAGATGTTATATAGCCTAAGTTAATGTCTGATTCTCTTATGCCTTGCATCTTACATCTCTTATGTCTTATACATTATTTCAAAGTTTTTTTTTCATTAGAAATTAGGAAATTTAGTTCAATTTTTTATTATCAGTTTCTTAAAAGTGTACGTAGTGAGTGAAGTGAAGTTTTTAATGCATCTTTAAGTACCAACAGTGAACTGTGTTCATTAATAAAAATACATAATATATGTCTTATGTATTTCTCTAATAAGTGTCATAACTAAATAACTGTACATAGTCAGTGAAATGTATTTTTGAATGCATAATATCGACATTGAACTGTATTTATAAATATTATGGATATGTAATAGTTTTGTTTATTCTTAAATAAATTGTATAACATAATAGAAGAAGACAAATAAATGTGTTACTGTGAAGAGTTCTATTTAGTTTACCCCATTGTTTCTTTACAATCAGTCTTGAGGTTCATTTCTGTATATACTGTAAACTACAGATTTATATTATTTGAATATATATCTGATACAAATGAAAACAGTTTGCTTTAATTGTTTTCAAAGTTTGCAGGTAATTAATTTTTTATCTATTAAATTATATATGTTCATGAGGAATAATTCATTCTCAGTCGTTAAACTTTTAAATTTTGACAGGCTTTCATTTAAAATCTTTACATTTTAATAATAGTATTTGAAAATAATCTTTTCCTCATAGTTAATGATATAGAATATTTCTATTATAGTTGATAGTCTGTAATTTATATCGTGGAACGTATCATCACAATTCAGTCATTATTATTTTATTACTAAAACTTTCGAACCAAATTTTTAAGTTTTCATTAAGATAGAAATTAATCAGATATACAAGAGATATGTGTATAGTATAGACAGAAATAAATAACCAAAGGAAAAACGTTATTAAAACAAATTAAGGATAAAGTAAGTAGTAAGAATATAAATAATAATAGTGATATATACAATATAAATGTATATAGGTATGTAATTTATATTGTATATAGGTATGTATGTGTTCTTTTTATTTATTTATTTTTAGGTTATTTTATTCTTATTTATTGTATATATGTTATTTTTCTGTATAATTTATTTTATTTACTGTACATAGAGTGTGAATGTGATCTGTGAACACTATTATTAATGTCCCTGAGACAGATTGTAATATATTTCAATAAATAAGCTATTAGAAAATGAAAAAAAAAAAAAAATAGTGATATATATTGTTTTACTTCAAATACACCCTTATCGCTTAATTTATCGTTGTTTTTATTTTGTTTATTTTATGGTATGTTTGGGATTTAATGTATAAAACTTTTACACAAGTTTATTTATTATATATTTTAAAAAATTACAAACAGCATTTAAAAGCAATAATCACTTATATTACATTACATTTTTCTCATTTATAATATATATTTACTACATAAAGAATACAAGTACAAGAGCTATATTCATATAAATAAGAACAAAATAGTGAATTGTACATATGGAATGTGTAATACTATTAAGCCACAATGTTTAGTTTATAAAACTAATACTTTTTAATTTACAAAATAGTTCTTCTACAATAGTAAAACTGATGAATTCATTCATATATTTTCAAGATACAGCGTATAAATCATATATTGATGATCTTTATTTTATGAACAAAAAAGATAATTATACTTGCTCTTCATTTACAATATTTTTGCTTATGATAATAAGTTTCTTAATCATCCAACATATGCAATCCATCCAGAGATCTTGAACTCTAACAAAGTTTATTTGTCTAGTGATAATGAATATTCTTCATAAAAATTACGAAAACTTTATTCTTTAATTGGATACTTAACTTTATGCGTTTTATTGGAAATAGAAAATGCAAAATTGAAATACAAAAAATATAATTTAACAGTTTATGAATAAAAATCCTATTTAGTCATAATTACTTTACATTATATTTGTTAGTTCCTCACTCCATAAGTATTATATGAAGTTTAAACTTAGTGCAAGTAAGCATTGAAATTATGTAAAAACAATATTAAACTTGGTTAGATATTTCAGATCACTGTATATGCTGGTGTTACATCTCAGTTTGCTTATATAAAGGTTTTTTTTCTAAATTCATTTTCTAGAATACACTTTGGATTATGACTGTATCACTAAATAACAGATCTCTTATTTCATCTTTAGTTAATTATCAAATTCTTTCATGTTTTATATTTAGCTTTTTTTATATCAAAGATTAATGTGAAATAGTTGATTATTTCACATAAAAAAAAAAATAAAGGTACTTTAGAGAAATCCAATATTGAAAATTAGCCATTTAAGCCCTGATAGAGAACATTAAAAAACCTACATTATATTAAAAACTGTTTAATAATACACTGATATACTGAGTTTAATCAAAATCGTTAGAGTTTTTTTGAGAAAATCGTAAAAATATGTTAAATCAAATATATAAAGTACCACTTCCAGTTTGCCGATTTTGAAGAAAATGATGCAGTAACATCAAAAGCTCATAAAAACCTTCAATATGCAATTTTACTTTCATATGATTTTTCGTTTTTGAGCTAGACTGATAACATACATACAGACAAACACACACACACACACACAGACCATGATCGCAATACTTACCCTTACTATATGTTGCATATATAGGTAAGTGAAAGTAAAAAAGTTGATGCTGTTAACCAATATATTAACCAACATTCTGTAAGAAAATAATGTATAACAAATAAAATAAGAATCTGTTATATTGTTAAAAAAATAAGATATATTCTATTGACTTGGTCATATAAGGCACATTTACATTTTATCGAACTCTTAAGTTCATGTGTCGTATCAAAACAATAATAAGTATTATTAAATATAATTATTAAGGTATTATTTAATTTAAAAAATGCAATAAGAGGTGGGAATATTGAATAAAGCATTGCTCTACTATATAGGATTAAACATATATAACAATAATACCCACCTCTCACAACCATTATAAAGCATCAATATGCAAACTATGCTTAGTTAAATAAATATAATAATACTTATGAGTAAAATACATTAATAGTATGTTAATATAATGATAAATACAAGGAACATAATTGATTAATCACAATTGTACAAAAGCAACCCCAAAACTACCAAAGAACATAAATCAGTCAGTATTTAATAACTTGCTTCTTTTCTCAACTTTTTAAGACATTTTACAATAAATAAAACCAACAACTTTTTGATATTACAATAAAAAAATACCATAAATATGTAAGTACATAATATTTAATCTATGTCAAAATTAATGCCTTGCTTTTACGGAAGAATAATTACATAGAAGACATCAATAAATATTTCTTTAGAAAGTATTTAAAAAGGACAAGCATTTCATATCTTTTTGGGCATTAAATTTTTCCCAGAAGCATTTTGAATAACAAATTGTTTCCTGCATGGAGCTGCTTCACATCCCAAATAATGTCTTAAGTAAATAAATAAACAATAAATCTATAAAATCTAACAGTCGATAAGGTACATCTGTCTAAGTCTTCCAATCTTCACGGATGGCCCTACTGTTCTGTATAAGCACTTCTCCAATGTCCAACTTATTCCCGGTCATGTTGTTTAGGTCGAATAGTTGCAGTTCTAAAATAATTTCTCCAAGATTCGATTGACTCAGATGAACTCCTTTTATTTGAGCAATAAGTTTCGTATGGTCAATGAGCACTCTTGTTTTTAAACAATCTTCTGCACTCTCATCTTCATGTTTTGCAGCAATACCTAAACAGTTAATTTTAAATATTTAGTAAATATAATATAATTAATATGACAAAAGATTTAGGAAATAAACAAAATATGTCTACAGTATGTCCGTCAACAGTTTGTAATAAAATGAAGGTATGATTTATCTGATAAGTGCCACTCATCCCAATGTACACAAATATTATAATAAAATAATAGACTAACTCCAATGTAATTGTTACAAACTGTTTTTGTTTTTTTTATTAAAAATAAATAAATATCATTAATGTAAATAAAAATAATAAAATAATATTACCCGAAATGTTGCAACAAAATCCAACAAATGGTACTTTGGTAAAATTTGCTTTTAATGGTTTTACATCCGTATTTAATACTAAGATACATTTCCATAATCAACAATTTTTACTGACACGCTTTCACTGCCTATAATTTTGTCAACATGGGCACTGAAAATTTGAAAACCACAAATTAAGCAAATAAAATAAAATATTTAATTTCTAATTATTAATCAGACTAGTGGATGATTATTTATTAATTTCAGAGGTTTATGGTGAAGAGACCCTGTTGCAATAGGACTATGAAATATACTGAACAAACCATTTATGTTTCAAAACAGTAATTTATTTTATATAAATAATTTAATAATTTATTTATTTATATAAATAATATAATTGTAGTAATGAAATACTTTATGTAAGCTCTTCTCTTCACTACTAACCTATGAAATGAATAAATTATAAATAGAAAGATGTACCAATACCAACAGTTTTTATCCCTGACAGCAAACAGACCTCCTTCCTTGATATTTGAGTCCAAGCTAGATTTTAGATGATTTTAAAATTCGCACATTTTCTTCTCAAGATTGTGAATAACGTTCACATAAATCAAAGGCTGAATCTAAACAGTTGATAAAATTAATGAATAATGCAAGCAATCACTAACCATTAACACACTAATTTAGATATAGGTTAATCATAAATTTTATCTCTTTAGCATGTACAGCAAAAAATTGAAATTAAATATCAATTGCTATCATCTAAAGAAAATCCTTTAAATGTACTGGTTATACAGAGGTGGGCAAATGCTACTCTGGGTATGGAGTATGGAGTATTTTACTCAAATTGAATCACTATTTGGAATTCAATCATTACTTCAGTTAATCATTTAACATCAACTAAAGTACTAATTAAATTCTTTTGTAGTCAAACAAGATCAGTGTTTGAGTAAAATAATTGGTAATCAATACTCAGAATAATATTTGCCCTTCTCTGTGGCTATATCCATTGGTAAATAAAATAATTCTAACTCAAGAGATAAAATATCAAATAATAAACATAAACAAACATCCTACTAATCCTTTTTACTTTCACTTACTTATATATGAAATGTATAGTAAAGGAAAGTATTGCGACCTTGAAAATTTTCAACTTTTCACACTTCTCAACTTTTCAACGGAAATACACAGTTTGAGTTTCCCCAAGTCCAAATAACCAAGTCCCGCAAAATGGTCTCTGTGTGTGTTAACAGTCTAGCTCAAAAACGAAAGTGAAATTGCATATTTAAAGTTTTTATATGCCTGAGATGTTACAGCAACTTTTTCCTCAAAATCGGATAACCGTAAGTGGCACTTTATATCATCGGTGTAAAACATTTTTTACGAAAACGGCACTAACGACTTTGATTAAATTCATTATATCAGAGTAAAATTAAGCATTTTTGAATATTATGTAGGTTTTATTCTCATTGGTGTTCTTTATTTTCTATACAGAGCTTAAATGGATAATTTTCAATATTAGCTTCCCATATAGTACCTTTAATTTTTTTTTATTTGAAACAATTGACCATTCCATATTCATCTTTAATATAAAAGGTAGTTGAATATAAAATATGAAAGAATTTGATAATTAACTAAAGGAGAAACAAGACACCTCAACGAAGAATAATTGTACATAATTGGTAAATGGTTGACTGTCGTGAATAATGAAGAGAAGAATAGTTGGGGTGATCAGTCAAATAAGAAGGCAAAAATAAATGATAATATTTATTTTTGCCTTCTTATTTGACTGACCACCCCAACCACGGGCGGATCTACGGGGGAGGGGGAGCTTTCGGGCTGAAGTCCCCCCCAAAATGGAAAAATATAACCATGTTTTATGGGGAAAAAAATTTAAAAACACCTCTTAAAGTATTATTGTTCGTGTAATTATATTTAAAAGTGCTTAAGGAATAATTTAAACACCATTTCATATAGGTGGTTAGTTTCTTTCTGTTTTTCCAAAGTAATTTTTTTTTTTTTAATAGAAAAATAACTTTATTCTGGGACACAGTCCCTTGAGAATAACAAAATAGAACAAAACTAATATATTACATCTGGCCAAAATAAAATCAATCGAAAAAAAGAAATAATGTAAAAAAATATATAGGGTAAAAATTCTATATACAAAACAAACTAAACTATATACAAAACCATATAATTATCGTTATTTTTATGAAAAAAAAGCTTTCGGGCTGAAGCCCTCCCCCAAAATTAAATCCTGGGTCCGCTAGTGACCCCAACTATTCTTCTCTTCGAGAATAATAGTAATTGAGGAACCAAAGGAATACGAGCGCACCCGAAAAAATACGCTTTCATAAGTACACATATATTTTCATAAATGGTATTGTTGGTATTATGTAACATTTAATAGTATAGATTACAGCGATATAAATATTAAAATTTGTATATATAAGGATACTTATACAAATAAAAATATCCACAATGAAATATAAATCAATATAGCGTTTATAATTTTTACTTTCACTTCTCTTTTGTCTGAAAATACTTATTTCTACTAAGAAGAGGGTGGTAAGTGAAAGTTGTGTGATCCGCGAACCGTACCAGAATTTTTTTCTATGAAAGCAGGCTAGATTGTTTTTTTGAAGGATAGTTGGATGTTTTCAACAAAAAATTAACTATAAAAAAAATCTTAAGGAAATAATTTTTCGAAGAAGTTGTAAGGAATGTAGTGTAACATATTTGATATATACCTACTTGGAAATAATAAACCGTTGTGTAATAATTTGCAGCGTTTTTGTTCTTTCAAAGTCATTTGAATCTAAAAATAGAGTCCCACCATGTTGAACATAATGGATGAAAATTGTAGGAGTCATCCAGTTTTAAATTGTTAAAGATACTTAAACTTTATTTAAGATACTTGCATTAGGTTAATGTATCTCGATTTTCAGTATTAATCCTATTTTTTTTTTTTTTTTTTTTTTTTTTTAGCTAAAAGGTTTAAGGAATGGTCAAGACAGTGAATTTTTGAAATTTTCTTTTAATATTTTTGCATCAATACATTGTCTTGGCTTATTTAACTAGTTCGAGATTAAGATTTCGCATTTGACGGAATCCTAATTATAAATCAGCTGATTGAGATTATTTAGATCTGCTTCCATAATAGATAAAGTAATAAATAAAGAAAATTGATATCTGTGAAACATTGAGGAGATAAACTCTGAAACTGTTTCATAAAATATTGGTGAGGGAGGGGGGGGGACAGACAGATAATCCCAACGCTTAAGCTTGGACATCGTATACATTTATATGCTTAGCGCCCCCTCCCCTTTTTAAAAGCCAGCGTTTCCATCATATTTTTTTTTTAATTTCCCTTTTGGTTAATCTTTTTTTCCCCGAGAATGAACTTGAAAATCCCTTCCACTCTAATATATACAAAATAATACATAACTAGTTGACACGTGCGAATAATTCGTATAGAATATTTGTCAGTCAACAATTGACAATATTATATAAAAATAAGTTAATTATACGTATTATGTGATAGAAGAAATAATTTTCTTTTTTTTTTCAGTCAAATCACATTAATTCATTGAAAATAGGCTGCATCTTTATTAGTAATGGTGCAATTTCGATTATTTATTTTTTTGTAGGGGATTTAGTAACATTTCAAATAATCATAGGTATAATAAACGAAAAATGAATACTTTTGAGTTTTTCGTAAATGAAGTTTTTTTTGCTTCATAACATTTTTTTTCTTCTGAAATTGCAAGAAGATATCCCTCATATTTTTGTAGGAAAAAATTATTATTTTTCGATTGCTATAAAAATTCGACTTCGAATATTTTTCGAAATGTCAAATATAAATCTCAAAACTGTCTCTCTTTAAAAAAAATATTTGAAATCACTTAGTTCCTTCGGTCGGTACGAAATGTTACAAATGTACAAATTTCCAATCTATATTAATGATTTTTTTGTTTTATTTTATAATGAATTTAGTAATATTTTAAATAATCATGACTGCAACGTATACTTTTTGAGTTATCGCACATAAAGTTTCTTTTCCTTTATAACTTTTTTTTCCTGAGAGGATGTGACTGTAATTCGTCACTGCTGCATGAAATTCCCTTTCGCTCGATACCACATTCATCAAAATCCATCGCTCCTGATTGACGTAAAAGAATATACACTGTAAAAACTACTATATTATATATAAAGATTTATATATAATATATATATACATACATACATATATATATATATATATATATATATATATATATATATATATATATATATATATATATATATATATATATATATGTATATATTATACATAAAGATAGATGCACGGGCTGAAGCCTCCCCTCCAAAATGGTAAAATATAACCACGTTTTATGGAAAAAATTATTAAAAAAATTATCTCTTAAAGTATTATTGTTCGTGTAATTACATTTCAAAGGACTTTAGGAATCACTTAAACACCATAGGTAATTAATATCTTTCTTTCTTTTTTCCAAAGCAATTATCGTTATTTTTATGAAAAAAAAAAAGCTTTCGGGCTGAAGCCCCCCCCCCCCCAAAATTAAATCCTGGATCCGCTAGTGTATAAAGATATATATATATAAACTACTGGTTTTATGTATATTTTACTTATATTATTAAAAAATAGATTTAGAAGAGCTTAGATTAGGCTTTGATTGATAAAAATTATTTCTCTACCGACCTTAGAATTTGCCTGAAAAGGAAATTTGTTCATAAAAGTGGAAACCCTTACAGGGTTGTACGTTATTTACACAATTATTTTGTAAATAAACATTTTTTTTTAAACAGTAATACTTTGCCAATACTTAAATAATAGACAAAAATACATCCCAAACTGTGAATTATAAAATATAGAATTTATTAAAAAACAATTTTTTTAATAAAAAAAAACAAAGGGGGGGGGATGATACCCCATCATCTCACGCAAGCTTCTCCATCAAAATATTTTGTTGTTAGGGCACATTTTTACAGGGTTTGGAATTTTTAAGGAGGAAGAAACGTTAATGTATTAACAATTTTGGAAGAAACAATATTTTTGTGGAGTTTCGATTTGGAGAAACTTTCAAACCAAGGAGCAAGAGTAAAAACTACACTACAATTTTACTTTAATTTATGTTTTCAAAATGAGGAGAACAATACATTTTCTTGGCGGGAGGCTATACGC